GCTTCTAGGGGCTCCTGGCCGTACAACTAGGAACAAGAAGCTACTAGTCAGTGTTGAAAGAGGGTGCTAGTAGGTCGGAGGCCGAGGCCATCGCCCAAGCGCGTGGCAACGGCGTGCCCAAGCTCCGCCCAAGCGCCCAGGTCCCGGGCGTGTTTCACACTTCTGTCAGAATTTGCGCAAACCGAAGGGGACAGAATCTAGTAGCGTCCTTGCTCCGTTCGTAGCGATGCCCGGGTTCCTAGTAGCGATGCCAGGAACCCCTAGTAGCTTCTTGTTACTCCTAGTAGTAACTAAGGGATGAGTTCAGAAATCTGATTTCCGAGTTGTTTTTTGGGTAAAGCTGCCCCAGCTGTGAGCTTTGAGGTGCCTGAACTTATGTTTGTTTTACGTTTTGTGACTGACTCCGTGCTGCAGTGCAAGCACCATAGACCCGTTTCTGTTTATCGAGCTCACTCACATTCAAACCGCCTGGGTATGTGCATCATGGCAAATCAACCAGCATCTTTGACCCACTACCTGCAATTTGCAAGTCCGGTGCGAAGTTCGTCCTGTTCAACCTCATGTTGCTTAACCCCAGGCCAATGATCATGCGGGCATAGGTGTCGAATGGGATCAAAACGGCAACCTCCAAATCTGCTGGATACTTTTACTATCGTTCGATGTGAATACAGTACAATTTTGTTGTCAGCCTTGTGTGCAATGGGACCTGGACCCCCGCACCGAGTAGAAATTGAGTATGGTTCATCTGGCAAATGCAAACTTCCACGCACTTTGCCTTCGCAAACTTCCACGTGCGAACTCTTGCAGTTTATGCCGACACTTTGGGTGGGGCCTCTGGGCTGGGGATTGACCTGACACAATCCTTGTGCAAGGGATTGGCCCATCATCTTGGGTTCCAGCGTGCATTTTGGAATGCATACAAGGGCTGCTTTGCACGAAGAGCTTCTCCCCAAACAACGAAGAAGTGGTTGTGCTTGGTTTGGTGTGGCAGGGTGTGTTTAGTTTTGTATAGTTTTGTTGCTTTGCCCAGGGTTTTGAACAAATTGGTCGTCAGGGAGTTGCCGTCCAGCTGGGTTGGACTTGGTTTGGTTGGTGCCTGTTGCCTGCCATATAAGGGGCTGGCCGCAAACAGTCCTGCTTTCACTCATTGCATCTTCGCTCGCCACTTGGTACAGTGTGTTTTCGTGTTTTCTTCGATGGTATCATTGCCGCTTAGATTTAGATGTTGTTTCCTGCACTTCCTTGCTTCTAGGCATGCTCACCAAAGAAGGGTCCGCTGGCAATGGTGCCTGTGTCGGGTTCGGCCAAAGCACTGCAATCACCAGAGTCGCAAAAGATCCACAAAGCAGCATTGACATTCATGAATGGATGACGGCACAGGAAACATCAATGGCCAAGGACAATTTGCGTGCTTGATTCGTGGATTAACTCAACATAACTCAACAATTCACGTCGCTGGCCAGCCACTTGGCCCTCACTCTCCTTGATGTTTTCCTCGATTTGGGACATGGCCTCTTTCCAGTCATCGAGTGATCGCGCATCGGGTCCTCAGAGTGTTTGGATGGAATGCCTGCAGTTTATGGTTTTAATGACATAATTCTATTTGTATGTATTTATTGTTTTTTAATAGCGAACATTGTTCCATATTGTTCCTAGTAGTATGGCCAGGAGCCCCGTTCGTAGCGTCCTTGTTAGCCATCTGTTAGCCATCTTAGCATATCTTAGCCTTCGCATGTCTCAGTTGTCATCCCGTCCGTTGCCGACCTCTCTAAACCGGTGCCAGGCTGCGACGGCCAGGTGAAGTGACCATGCGCTCGTCCCAGTGAACGATCATCTCCTGTCAGTCCCTTGGCCCTTGCTAGCATGCCAAAGAACAACCCGGAAGGAACAAAAACAACACAAGTCACAAACATATAGAACATATACTAGATGTTTTGTATTCAGGAACTAGGACAAGTCTAATTTAGGAAAAATCATGCAAGAATTGAAAGTTTGAAACAACCCAGAAAGGGAAAGCCGTATAACATAATTAATAGCGCAGGAGGGTCGAACGAGAAACAGTAGAGGAAGAAAGGGAAATGAGAACACACGTCGTCCAACGCTTTTTCTTTTTTGTTTTTGTGCTACATCGCTGCACCTTGCTACCCCCTTACTTGTCATACTTACTTCGAATACTTCTGCTCTGCTGCACGAATCTTGCCTCAATTGCAGTGGGAACTTGAACGTGTCTTCTTTCTTTGCTTCCGTCGGCGGCCGCCTGACTCCGCCTGACTGTTGGGCGTCCGTTGGACTGGCCACGCTAGCGACCCCGGGACCGAGCTCGCCAGCGATCGCGAGAAGCGAGGCGGAGCAGCTCACCAAACTCAAATCAAGCCGTGCGCAACGTTGGGGCCAGGCAAAAGAACGTGGCATTAATCGCGCGAGTCTACGGGTGACTGAATGAACATGTTGCCTGGTTCGGAAAGCGAGCTGGTCGCGGCCCATGCCGGCAAACGCATTCTGCGCTCTCGCATGCTGCCGGAAGTCCCTGTTGGCGCTTCTTTGGTAGGTTCCCTGTTGCCTGGCCACCTCAGTCCAATGAGTCCAATGGCGGCTACGTCCAGCACTGGCGGTTCAGGCCACAGATGGCGCAAAGGAGGCCCTCGCAACAACCCTTTTCGCCACTGCGCCGCGCCAAAAGGCTCCAAGCCTTTCTGGGCGATGTCACTGAACACCCATCCAAGGCGAAGATCTCACCGGCCTCCTCGGCACCTGAGCGGTGGTGCTCACGTTTGGCGGAAGCTGAGTTGAGCAAGGAGTCGGTGTTCAGACCTGAGAAGGATCTCAGAGGCTTACGTTCCCTTCTGAGACATCCTTTATCCCATCCTTTCCCAAGGACAACAAAGCACGTAGTTGGCATCATGGCTAGCGAGATTTCGCCGAAGCATTGCATGCTTTTGTCCACTCACCAGTGCCACAATGCTTGCACGATCTGTTGTCCAAAGGTTAGGCTGGGTAAAATATGTTGCTTCAGCACCCATCCTCCCGCCTGCCGCAAAGAATTCTTTTCTAGCAGTTCGGCTTCACCCTAGCGGTTCTGTGGGCCATCCTTTCGGTCGCTCGACTGAAGGACCCTGCGTTGGTCTGCAGCTCCCCTGTGGAGCGGTTGCTCAGGGTGCACCGGCCCGGCGGTAAGAAGAGCGACAAAGGTAGCTGCGCGAAGCGTCGCCCCCACCAAGCGGCCCTTCTTACTATTCACAAGTGGGGCATCATGTTCCTTCAACGAAGGCTAAGGGGGCCCTGATTCCGGCCGGCGTGAGCGGAGTAGCATGCATTCATTCCTTCGCATGCGAGCATGGTACACTTCCTTGCTGCACAAACCTTCTCTTTGACACTTGGTCCACTTTAGAACACGGAAAACGTTTAGATTCTTTTAACTGGCAAAGTGAAGTCAACACTGAGTCAACACCGCATTATTTCAGCATATTTCAGCTTCATCACACAGCGCACCTTCGCCTGGTCAAGCTCAACTCTCCACTGCACAAGTCCCCGCTCAACATCGATCAGGGAACCTGAGTCGTGGCTCAGGCTGCGACAGCTGTGCAACAGCTCAGTCCAAACATGACCACCCGCCCCCTTGGAGGCATCCTGCCCCGTAGGTTGGAGGCCATCACTGACAGCGTTGAGAGACCTATTACTGTGATCCTGCCCCATCCTGCCCCCTCGCTCACCAAGCAGCGCTGCAAGGACGTGCGGCTCTCTAAGTTTCTGATGAGATCGAGTTTCCAGTTTTCACTGGCTTCTTTTAGTTCGTTCTCATCACCTCCTGGGCAGAAGGCAGGGTGGCTGAAAAGCCAAATGATATTGTTCCCTTGTGTTCTTTTAATTTCGTTTCACCTCTCTTTTTCTTTGGACTTTGTAGTTTTGATTTCTTTAGGCCCCTGGGCCTTTCTTTGCTTTTTGATGCTTTTTGTTCTTCCAAGGGGTTCTTCTAACTGACTAGGAGAAAGTTGGTGGACAGCAGCAACCTCTCTGACAAACGTGGCAGCGTTGAGTGCAACTCCCCAACCAAAAAAAAGAATCATTCAAAATACATTGAACATAAATAACCTAACGAACACTGTACAGTTCACAAAAGTCTGACTGAAGTCCTGCGAGGATGTCCGGTACAGCGCTTCGCTGAGCGAGTTTGGCTTTGAGGATGGACACCTCGTTCCTCAAATCTGCAATCGCATGCTCGTATTGGCTCACATGCTCACCAGGAGTCACCAGGTTTTGCTTGGCACGAACCCGGATGTTCTTGGCTCGGTTGGCATATTTCAACGTGTTCAAGGTGTCTTCGTAGCTCAAATGGCTCGGGGACGCATTGGCAATCATGACTGTCTTGCAGTTGCCTCCCAAGGAATCCTTGAGCAGTCGAGTGAGCTTCGAATCCCGGTAGGGAACAAAGCTGGACCCACTGGCCAAGGCATTGATGCAGTTGCCGAGCGCCAACAACGATCGATTGATCTTCGCCCCTTCCAACAGACGTAGCCCACTGTTCTTGGTCTCCGCTGCTCGCTCAGAGCCTGCCAAATCAATCATGGACAGCTTGCCCATCAGGGTTCCAGAAACGGAAGATGGATTGGAAGCCCTCCGTTCCACACGAACTTGCAACACCGCGTGAGATCTGGAGGACGTCACGTTCATGGCAGTCGGCTCAGTAGTTCGACGTTGATTCCCATGTTGCAGCAAGTCCATCACCTCTTGAACAGACTGCGCTTGAACTTCGGTGATTCCGGCCACATAGCTCCCACACACAGGGTCCTCACGAAGGTCTAAAATCCCCGAACTCGTCTCGCAGGCCAAGTCACGGAAGTTCTCGTTGTAGACCTCCACGAAGGAACAGGAGACGCTAAAGCAGTCCTTGCCTTCCTCGGCATTCGCTTCAACTCCCCGGAAGATCTCTTCGACGGATCGGAACATGATGCCAGGCTCGACCGGCGTCCCAATCATTGTAAAAGTCTTTCCGGCTCCAGTCGAACCATAAGCAAACACGGTGGCGTTGTAGCCCTGCAGGACCTTGGATTGCTCTGTCTGCGCACGCAAATGCACGCAGCACTTAGAGGACCAACACATCGAAATGCAACGTCCCTAGAAAATGAAGTCGCTTCATTTTGAGGGGTTGTTTTGAGAAACACTGCATTTGAGAGGTTGTTTTGAGAAACACTCAGTAACGCAGCTCAAGTGGTCGTTGCTTTAGGAGGCTGCCCTTAGGCGCGAAATATGAAGTCCCTAAATAGGCGCCTCTGTGCAGCTCAAGTGCAGACTTGATGAGCGGCTCAGCTGTTGCTGTGAAAAGCGTCTTTGTGTCTACGTCGCCAAAGGCTTGATCAAATGCGAAGCGTTTCTCTTTGGACTTGTCTTGTCGTAAATAGTCATTGGCTGCTGAAGCTCCTCACATTCCCCAACAAAAGACAGAAATGACATCAACTCATTCTGGCTTGAATTGGGTGCTATTGAAATCAGTTGGCACCCAATGAGTTGTTGTTCCCACTGTTGAAATCACCTGATCAACTTTCGGCAAGCCTGGGTCCAGCAAGATCACCAGCCGTCCATCCATAACCCGACAGATGCTCTGCACCATATTGTTCCTTTCCTAGGTCTGGCACGTGCATCATGAACCCCCTTTAATCAAGGGAGGTGTCATCATGAATCACAACGGCACGACATGATGAACCAAGAAGACAAAGTGACAACACTGAATTGAGTGATTGAGACTCAACTGTCACTGCTGGTGTTCAAAAATGCTATGTTTCTTGTGCCCTCTGTTGAAAAACTACTTAATTAAGGCGAAACCAAGTTGGATTGAAAGCTAGCAGTAGCTTGGAGGCCATCGCATTTGGGTTGGATGCCATCGCCAGTAGGTTGGAGGCCATTGCTATTAGGTTCCTTTTGCTATAGGTCAGCTAGCTACTGCAGGCGAGTCAGTGGAGAACGAACCTGGAAACAAATCACCCACTAGGCACTAAGCACGCCGGTGAATGTAGTGAATCACATGGGAGCAGGAAGGGGAGGCCCACACAAATGACTAAGCAAAAGAAACGGGCCATACATGGGAGATGTGGATGGTTGGATAGGTAGGTGGATATAATCAACTTTGTGTGCGAATGCCTTGCTCGCTCACAAGTCCTGCAAAGAATGTAATGAGATTCGGGCCAACTTGAGAGGAGGGTGGCCGAAAGGTAAGTAAAGAGGTTAGATGAGATAGGAGTAGGTAGGTAATTAGGGGCAGGGTAAGAAAGATACATTCTTGGCACCCTTGCCCACATAACACGACACTGAGGGTACCTTAAAGCCTGTGCGTTTGGCACCCCCCCACCAAATGCCAAATGAATAGGTCCCTTCCCAAAGTAACCCGAAGGAAGGAAGGGTTCCATTAAAAGCTCTTCCTTCAACTACCAACCTAAATCTTTCCAAACTGCACAGGCACCGTTCCAACATGTTTCTGAAGCAAAGCACACTCAGGATGATTCATGCTGCGACTACTTTCATGAACTGAAAAGGCAGGAGCAAAGGCAAGGCTATGCATGTGTACATAGAAATGCTATATATGAGGGCTTCATGTTCAAAGGTAATGCAGAAGGAATCAAGCAACAGAAAGTGAAAGAAGAGAGGACGATGAAAGAGGAGAGGACAAGAAGTTATCAAAGTGAGAGCCTTGTGAAGTGCACAAACACAGAAACATAAATGAGAAAATGCTGTTTATGCCATGTAAAAGAGACATCATGAACACTGTGATGACTGGAAAGCCTCACAACCAATGAGAGCAACCTATAGCGAGAGTAGCAGCACAATGGAGCAAGTGACTCTGGAAAACATGAAGTCATACCTTGCAAGACAAGGAAAACTGGCGAATCTGACTCTCCGCGCCGAGCGGGTAAAAGAAATGATAAACATTTAAGCCTTGAGTCTCAGTAGGTCTTGCTAAAGCGGACACTTGTGCTACTCCACTAAGACAGCACTAGCTTTCGCAAGTGCTTGGCCATCCCTTCATGTTCTATTAGGTTGGAGGCCATTTCTATTAGGTTCCTGCTATTAGGTTGGAGGCCATCGCTACTAGAAAGCGTTGCATTGTCTTTGACATGTCAAGCTTCATGTTCTGAGAGCGGTCGGCACCGTACAGCCACGCGAATTCTGGCCTCCTCCTCCATGAGCTCCAGCTCATCATGAGCGACAGCGAACAAAGAAAAGAACCTAAGAAAGTCCCAGCTACAGCTACACTTTTGCCTGGGGGTAGAGGACGCTACTAGGAGCAAAGGGCATCGCTACTAGGAGCAAAACGTTTGGGAAGTCCTGTGGCCTGGGACTTGATGGATCTTATTTACTAAGATGCTTTAGTTTGCTTCTACTTGTCTTCCTTTGGTTGGATTCTGTCCTCGTTTGGTTGGGTTCTTTCAGAACAGCACGATATCAGGGACCTATTTATTGTGGAAGTTGATTTGGCTAGTGAAGGCATTTGATAACAAGTCCTCGGATGGAGAGGAAACATTTTGCGGGTGATTTGCATGCGCAGGGAAAACATCCAAAAGGCATGGAAGGGACTGTGATTGTGGCACCACAACCATGCTCTCTTTCTCTCCCTCTGCGTTTTCTGGTAAAACACACGGTTTTTTGTGAAGCTGGTCTCCAAGGGTTGAGCCAAAGCAGTTGATCTGAGCTTCTTGCTCCTAGTAGTGCCCTTTGTTACTAGTAGCCATGCACTTGCTACTGCAAGCCACGCCAATGCGTCTTGTGATTTTGCGAATCACTCCCGAACACCCGAACATCCGACGGAAGCGCCTTTGTCGACGGAAGCGCCGGTGCATCGAATGACCAGTGAAACCGGTTCCGCTGAAGCGCGGAACCATCCGCGGAGCTATGGACGGTTCCGCTGGAGCGTCCTGTGGACTGCACAGCTGAGCGTCCTGTCTATTTGACCGGCACTGAAACGGCGAGAATTCGCTGTGAAGCTAAGTGTACCATTTGTAGCTCGTAGTCCCACGGCAGCTCATTCGAAGCCAGTGACCTGCCAACTAGGTCACTGAAGAGAAGTCAGCAGCAAAAAGTATGTTTTGCTGCAAGCATCTTGATCAGAATGAGTCGCAGCAAATAACTTTGGCATATAGTGAATCAAAGGACTTTTTCCAAGGCAACTCAGCGGATGGCCTTACTCGGTGGCAGCGTTCCCTTTTCACGTGCCTTCCAAGAATGACGACGGAAAAGGCATGAGATTCGGGCAACTGAAGATCTGCCCGCCCCAGTCACTAAGGCCGCTAAGTAAAGCCACCTATATACTAGCGACGACCTCCAACCAAGTAGCGATGGCCTCCAACCTACTAGCGGAAAGAGAACAGTTGCCCTCGGGCAACACCTGGCGGATGAAGTCCATGAGCTCTGCTCGTTCTCTCTCCTGGAGCCACGGCAACACACTGAGCTCATCTGAGCTCATCTGAGCTCATCCGAGCTTCTTGCTATTTCCGGATGAGGACCAAAGGCACGAGCGTCGTGATATGTGCTCGACATGTTTTTCCTAACGACGTAAGCGTCCTTACGCGCGTAGTGCTGCCAAGTTCTATGCACAGAAGCATTCCAGGTCTGGACTACCACCACACCGAGGTAGATGCACGCACCTTTTTCAACTGTAGCAGCTCAGACAACAGGGAACTTGTGGTGAATAGGCATCGTAAGCTTGCCTAAGGCGCCCTGCCTATGGTGGCGGTAGCTGAAACTCTCCAAATTGCATCATAGACCTGTCTCCGTCTCATACATGGAAGCGAAAGGATGCTACATTTTAGCTGACTGAACCAACAGCTCCTACACCAATTTGGGTCAAACGTCCCAGCTTGACCAGCACAAGCAACATGAAAAATTGCCATGCTCAAAGGGCAATAAAGCTCTTGAACATGTGCACATTTGAGAGTGGCCACGAGGCTCTCACGAGGAGTTTTTGAGGGGTATGAAACAGAGTATGCAGTACGGTATGCAGCCGACACTTTTCCCATCTTACCCCTTTCCCAGTGTGATACATATCGCATGGTGTGTGGCCCAGCCTTGTACCGGTAGAGCGCGAAACTGTACCAATTATATTTCTTGTACCATGGAACGCTGGTCGGTTTTGCTTGCCTCAAAATGAGGCTCCTCAACCTGAGTCGCTCTCCCATGACCATCCAAACCCCGATATGTGCAGTCATATATGGTACAAACATGTAAAGAACATCCTTTTTCATGTTCGTTATGTTCTAGCAATGGTCTCCAACCTACTAGCGATGGCCTCCACACATGCTGTCACATATCCGGGTGGGCGTCTGAGGTCCTCGCATGCGCTTCAAAGATTTGAGAAGCTAAGACAGAAACATCTCCAGGATGCTCGGGCCGAAGCTGCGGCGTGGCCCCATTGCGTCTTACCAACAAAAGACACGTTTTGTGCATCATCAATGATGGGTAGACTCCGAATGATTCTAATGGGCTGGATCATCGATCCAAACCATTCTTCTGGTGGAATGAATGTCATCGTCTGACTCATTGGATAGTTTTGTGCAAAACGCAAGGCGCATATATGTCACATGGGCGTCTAATGTCATTTTTCTACCAGCTCTTGATCTTGTGTTTGAGATGTGAACGAAGCAGCCTTTCTTTGGACTGCTTGTGGTGAGACTGGAAGCTGGTCACACGTGTCTACTCTACAATTGTACGACTTGCAGCACAGTAGCCAAAGCCAAAGTGGCCTCAGCTGCGAAGTAGGGGCAGTGCTCCAAAGCCCAAGACCGTGTAACAGCTACTAGCAGCAGTAGCAGTTGCAGTATGAAATAGATAGCAGTTAATTAGTTGATATTAGTTGTGATGGTCACATGTAAATGAAAATATCTAAACAAGTTCCCAAGCTGGAAAAAATGCTGAACACCGTGTGGTAGGCCAACCACTTGGCACATCTAGGCATCCAGGCTGTCACACCCCCAGGAGAGATTGGGACCGGCTACGGCTTCTCCACGATCTTCGAAGTCAAAGAACTGGCAGAAACGACACGAGTGCCGTTTGAACCGAAGTGGCCGAAGGATCAAAGGCTCAAAAGGCCCCGGAGTCTTTAATAGCGGCCTCCAACCTCCCGCCGGCATCTACTTAATTAAGGGCTAGCGGCTAGCTACCTACTGGATGCAAGAGAGCTCACACTTCGAACTTCGAAGGGCTCGCACCATTCCTTTGCTGACTTGAAGCTCGGATTTGCTTTGATTTTAGAGCAGAGACTTCCTTTTAAAATTTTGGCGAAAGCGAAACTTGTTGAAAACCCATCTCAACAACAATACAAGCTATCCCTGGATGTGATGCCTCCGTAGAGTCCAGCTGCCCACCATCCGCACCAACGCCTGTGCAAGACGCTGCCATAGTCACGGAAGCCACCCAAACACAACAGTCTCAGAGGTGCCCTCCGTCGCACCGCGCCTCCTGCGATCAGCACCACGACGTCACTTAACCTCGGTGAACTGTTCTGCAACTTTTTGGTCAACATGTCAATTACGCTCGGTTGGAAGGCATCGCTAGTAGGTTGCAGGCCATCGCTTGTCCCCTGAGCTTTCCACCGTACTGCGGCTAAGCCAGAACGCGCGAGCATCATGTCAGGCCCTCGCCTTGTTGGGAGTATTGCATATTGAAGAAGAGAAAGCAACATAGCCGAAAGTAACAAAGATTTTGAAAAACTAGCGATGAGTCTCTGCGAAGACACAGGCGCCGACTGGAACGTCCTCGAACTTTGTGGAGGAGTCACCTGGGAGTGTATACACAATCAAAGGAACGTCGCTGTTCCCAAAATCAGGCAGTCGTTTCCGTTTTTCTCATATCGTTTTACAGGGCTTTTGGCAACATGCGGCATGTCTTTAGCATCTTGCAGGAAATTGACAAGGTGTGAAACTTTAAACTTATTTCGACACTCTTGGTAGCATGACTGTGAAATCCGAGAAGCATTCGCAAAACTCCGGCTCACTTTTCAGTAACGTCACTGTAAACATGCTATCATGCGGCAAGTTTCAAAAAACATATCGTCATCGCTGTGCTGTTTTTCTCGTTCTGAAGAGCTAAACTCGATGCACATCAGTCACATCACGTTGTCGATGTTCTTTTGTACATCTTTTATCTTTTGTACTCTTTATCTTACAGCAATTCAGCAAAAATCAAAGACTGCCCTTCCCTGGGTTCTCCTGCAAAAACCCCACGTTTAAGGAATCGAATTCAACGGATTTTTGTTTTCTCTTTGTTCTCATGCTTTCTTGGTCTTGATATCAGTGATCTCAGGCAGTGCGCCAAGCACCATGGACAGCGAGTCAGTTGCTGAAACCTAGTGTACGACCACTTCTCTCAAGCAGTCCGCTATCTTTTTGGTTTTGGAATCAAAGAATATAGCAAAACATATATGCCATGTGCCATCATGGCGGTCTGACATGCCATGCATCATGCATGCCTCGGGCTGCGAGCTGGGATTATCTGACATTGTTCAAACCGCTTTGGCGATCTAAATTCTACTGATAAGCATCGCTCCTCTCGGAGTTTTCCTACTATCACCCCCCAACACGGTCCCAAATGAATCCAAATGAATATGCGAGAGACATTAATTAAATTAGACTATATAATCTTCATAGTTGTTGTTACATGTTCAGTGGTAAGAACTCCTATTGCTCTGGGATTTGAATGCCAGTCCGCGACGTCACTCCTTGGACGTGGTCGATCTTCTACAGTGAGGAATGTGCATGGTGGCAATGGCTGGAGCAGGGCAAACATCCCACATCATCCCAGCAATCGGATAGAGAACTCTCATTAAGTCACCAAATATGGAGTCAATGGTGCCGCTACTAGGAACAAGTGCATCGCTACTAGTAACACAAGGAAGGTTTCGCTCCACAGGATTCAATGAGCTCTATAATTACACGTCTGCCTGCAACTTGTCGGAAGGAGTTCTACTGGGCAACTGACGACCTTCGGCTTGCTTGGAGGCATTTCCCGTCCTGGCAACGACCCAACAGAAAGTTTGCAGTGAATCTGGTGCATATTGCGACCCAACCTCATAACGATGGCCTCCAACCTAGAAGCGGCGGCCTCCAACCTAGAAGCAATGGCCTCCAACCTGCTAGAAGCGCTGGCCTCCAACCTAGAAGCGCTGGCCTCACAACCTAGAAGCGATGGCCTGCAAACGATGGCCTCGAACCTAGAAGCGATGGCCTGCAACCTAGAAGCGATG